CCCCACCCCCCACGTTACCCCTTAGTCATAGAATGTAAGTTAGATGATTGCTTCTGTAATGATTCATATAGACCATCATATCCTCAATAGAGTCCTATAAAATACAGAGTGAAAGTCACTTTCGTCCAGCTCGATCCATTTTACGACTTATCACAATTTTTTCTATATTTTTACATGAGCATGTCATCCTATGTGATTTCAATGCCTTTCCATGTAGATGATAACACAGCAAAAATAGGAAAGAAAGTAGAAATGAGAAGACCTATAATAGTCGACCAAGCCTTTGGCTTGAACACAAGGTTAGAATTGACAGAGGTCTTAAGCCCAAGCCACCCTCGGTACGAAAGCTGACCTATCAAAAATGAGAAAAAATTTCACACTAATTTAACCATGTTGAGCAACCCTAGAAGATTGTAGCTCTTTGAGAGTGAACCTAGGGTTGTTCTATGTAGCTAGGAGCATGGGCAGCTATTGATAGGACAAGAGAACGAGATCCAAAAAGTGCAGGGTAAGAGATCAAAAAAGTGTGTTACTACATTAAGTGTTTGGGGGCATGGTTAGTATCTCCTATTGGGAGAATATATGACATGGGGACGAGTGCCATAATCTGCGGCCTTTAGTTGTTTAAGGTCGCAATGAGAAGGAATGCCCCAGGTTTGAGGTATCTTGAAAGATGTGGTTTTCTTGGGGGTGGAAATTGATGTGGTGTCCCAGGGTTAGGAAGACCTGCAAGGAAGCCTCTAAGTTGGTCTGTGAATTGGGGTTGCTGGAGAGATTCAAAGCTTAAGCTCGATTCTCTTCCAATCTAAAACCATCTCTAAATTGCTCTATTGTGCAAGCCTTCCTCATCCCACATTTAACACCATCTTGTTTCATCATTTAGCTAAGCATTTAGATTAGAAGACTTCCCATGTAACCTGACTTACCAAATTAAGGAAAATTGACCAAACTTCTAATTTTTAGTCAACAAATCCCACCAGAATTCCGCCAATACTCAATGCCCAAGAACTAAGCCACATAATTTGATTTTCTTTTCAGAAGTCGAGGCCACATGATCTCATATCTGAGGGGCTCAGGACCCCATACACAGAATAGCATCTAACATAATCTCTCTACCAAATTCTAAAGCCAAAGGTGGATTTGGATAATACTTTCTGCCATCATGCTCCAGGAAACATACCTTCCCCCAACAAACATCAGCATTCAGTTTCTTCAGACACCCCTTCAAATTATCTTCATCTAACCACATATTGATGCTCTACGCACCCTTCAAAGGTATTGATGCACTTTTGCATGTGTGTATGTTTGGGTAGGAAGGTCACAATCACTCCTATGAGTCAAATGTAAAATCAGGGAGCTAGGAAAGAGTTACAAACTTCAAGAAAAAATTTTGAGCATGCACGCCTGCGCTCACACACAAGCGCGATATAAAAATAAGGCGCACATCAAAAAACCTATCGGAAAAGGTTGCTTCAACACTGGAAAACGCTCCAATTGATTATATCCACCTCAAGATGTCATCATCCAATCCTTATGCCAATTATTTGGGGTCGGCTAAAATCTTGTTCCTCCGTTCTTCTTATTAAGGGCCATAGCCATCTCCACCTCAAAATGTATGGCTATGAAAAAAGGGATTTCAAGTCTTAAAAATAGTCCATCTTGTAACACATTATCTGAACCATCCATTTTCAAGATTTTTAAGTGTTTACAAATTTGCTTGATCTGCAACATTTTTTTATCTTTAAATTTCATAATTAGGGGTAGAAATATATTTTCAGGCCATCAAAGGGGTTTTCGGCACCGGAACTGCACCTTCTGTCAAGGTTTGGAGTTTGAAGGCGTGCCTTATGATTGTTTAAGGTTGGCTTGACAAGACCCAGTCATCCAACTATAAACTCTTCATCTATCTACGAGTTACTCTTACTCCGACTTCCTTATGCCGTTGATTCAGTTTTGCATATCTCACAGCAAACTCCTTTGTCTCTTCTTTTCTTCATGATTTCTGGTCCAAATTGGTTTTCCTCATACTCATTCTCTCTCTTATCTTAAACAGTTCTTTCACATATAGTAGGAACACTCTGCCTATAATGCATACAACCTCGCAATATGCCCCATGCGCTTTCCGAACCCTGCAACCACCCCAACAATAATAAGCTTCCAGCATCTCACAGGACGGTTGAATATCTAATCCATCTTGGCTCTATGCCCAAGAATGCCCACTCTAGAACACTACCAATGGCCCTTCTCTTTTGAATGTTAATTTTTAGAATCATGTCCACAATACATCCTTCCACTAGCCATGGCCATTCTCTTTTGAATGTTAACTGTTAGAATCATGTCCACAATACATCCATGCATTTCTTAGATGAGATATCTTGCACCCAAATAACCCCATAATCACCATTCCAAGTCACTAGACCGCTATAATCTGAACAACAGATGATCACCTTCTGCTCCAATTCCAACACTAGGATTTGTTTTTTTATCGACATCAATTGATACCTACCTTTTCCCCAACTATGTACAGAAAACCAAATCCAGCTTGAAATTCAACATTTCTTGAAATTCCTGAAAGGCCCCGATCTAACATCAGAAGGGAACTCCTAGATTGTTTTTCATCACCGTCAGACCCACTTTCAACCATAGAATATCAAACCTAGCACACTTACCTACTCCATCACGTCATTGTAATTTTTCATTCCTTTCCCAATATTCCTCCCAATTTAGATTAGCCTTGCAGCCCCCATCCAGCCTCCTTGGCACGGCCTCTTGGCCCCCAGCCCGATTATTAATTAGAACCAAGTATGACTTCATTGCTTTTGTCATCTTTCCCCAAGACCAGCAAGTTCATTTTCTTAGCTAATTCCTCTCCAACAATAGGCTCATTATCAGTGCCAGTCTCGTCAAATTTCCCTCCAATAGACTCCTTCCAAGTTGATATGCCCTTTCACCGTGTTTTCAGCATTCATTATAGATACAATGCCCTTAGACATTCCTGTGTCAGCACCTCCTTACTTGACCACCATGCTAAGACCATTCTAAATCCCCATTCATCCAACACGAAAATCTCCAGAACCCGAGGAAACTAATTTGCTTGAAGAACTCTCAAGAGAGAGAGAGAGAGAGAGAGAGCTGCATAGTAATCCCTAAATATATACCATCATAAAAGGTTTGCTAATTTAGTCTTTGCTCAAACTTTATATAAACTGGAATATTTGATCTGACACATTTTGCGAACATTCAAATGAATCGGTAAAGAATTAAGTCAAGGAAACAGAGTCCAAATCACATGTTCCTAACTATGACTTACCACATTTTCCTAACTATGACTTACTGTATTCATGGCAGATACTGGGATCCAGCCTCCATGTTGCTGTTGTGCAAGATCCAACAGGGGAATGACAGCTGATTGCTTGTAGTTGGATGGGTAGTGAGACAAAAGCTCCTTAACCTTTAATAGACATAAACCACATGTTAGGCTTCCATCATTTGCTGTGAATTCCATCAAAAAATCTTCGTTTTTGTTACTGAGACAAATGAATATACATTGAATTTACGTCTTTAGCCCTGCCAAATGAATTTCATGTCTCCCATCCTCCAGTGACCAAGTGTAGTCTAGGAAATATTTTGTTTGTCATAAATCATAATGTCTACAAATTTAAACGCGGTTGAGAACTTTTTTTAAACAACCTAGTTTAGAACTTTAAATTTTCTTTTTCTTATCATTAATGCAATATATCAAATTTAGAAGTATGGCAAACATATAGGAGACTTTGGTGAAAATGGTGACCATCTAATGCCATCAGAAAATAACTGCTAATCTTGAAAATGTTTAAACTTTGGAGCAACAGGTAATTATTTCTACTTCTCAACGTATTCAATTACATAAGTAAATGAAAACTGCAACCACACAATGCCTTGTTCTGATCATCTTAAGCTGAACTTATAGATATTCTGACTAGGGAAATCAAAAACAGCAAAAACTTCTTATATGTATAGAGTATACTATATCTCTATGCCATCATGCATGCAAAAAAAGCACTTCCATGCTACAATTCTTTTCTTTAAAGAAAAATAAATGTTCCATTCTACAGTTGTTTATAAAATTAAAAGAATAACTATAGAACTACCCACTAACCAGCCTTTCTCAATTTGCCCTAACTGTATCACCTTTTGTAGCTTTATACATAACGACCACCACAACATGGTAGCCCCCCACACTAAGTAATGAGTCTTTAATACGGAATGAATAAGCCTGCACACTATTTCTTTTCCCCTCCACCTTCTCAAGACTTACTTAACCCCTCCCACCCCCACCCCCACCCCCACCCACACCCACACCCAAAAAAAGCACACCATGTCAAAAGCTCCTAAATAGGAAGCCAACTATGTAGCACAAAGTTGCAACATGCACCAAATGAGGATTGGCATGGAGCACTCCGAACTCTCACCAATCTTGGTGGCACCCTCCAACCAAATATTCCACCAGTTGAGATGAAAATATCCATATTCCAACACCTAGTAAATTTTGTCATTTTTCTTGAAATGAAGGGTGCAATTTACATTTGTAATTGACATGGAAGTTCCATAACCTATAGCTTTGATCCCACTCATAACTGCTGCATATTCAGTCTCTTGCAATGATTTTGTCAGACCAACATCCATTATGCAATGCCGCACCAAGGAAATATGAAAATAATGGTATTGATGAAATGAAGAAAACAAGAAGAAAAAGCTACGAAAGGCAATGGAAGTTCTAAATTCTATCAAAAATAAAAGGTAAGCGTCAAAAAGTTCTACAAAACAAACAACAACTACTGATTATGGAGTATCAAAACTAAGGATTTGCTGCTTAAAACCATGACCAGATCAAGAACATAAATTCTTCCAAGGACTACATGAGAGAAAACGATGAAGCCTAGTATAACTCACCCTCTCCTTGTTTGCATCTGTGAAATCCCATGGCATATCGGGCTTGTTGTCTGGTGAATCAAGGTGCTGGGAGACACCAAAAGCAAGTAAGCATCATAAAATTTAAATATTGCAAAACCTAGATCAGAAGGAACTAGAATATTAGACAGAGAAAATTGCCACAATGTATCAAACTCACTCACATAGTTCAAGGCTGTGGAGAAGGAGCGAGCCTGCAAGTTAACCTGAAACCAAAATGAGTGATAGAGAGAGAGACAGATAAGTATTTGATCAGATCATTTAACCAGTCAGGTTCCTAGCATTTAAAAATTGAAAACTCTGTGGTGAGAGAAAGAAATTTGAGGGGGAAGAGAGGGCGTTCAGTAGGGACGAGATTAGGAGATTTCAATAAATTGATAGAGAGAGATAGGGAGTTCTGGAGAAATCGGGAGATTGGAAAAGGTGAAGACTTGAGAGAGGGAGAGTGAAATTGCATAATTAAAGAAACAGGAAAGAGCGAGAGAGAGAGAGAGAGAGAGCGAGAGAGAGGAGCATGAAGAAATAAGAGAGAGAAAATGCGGAGAGAACAGAGAGAAGAGGGAGAGACCTGAAAAGGCTGCCGGAGAATTTGGCGGAACCCGGCAAGGTGTTTTCCGGCGTTTCTTGCTACCTTCGACAACATGGCGAAAGGGGCCTCTCTCCCTGCCCCTCAATCGTTTCGCAGTGAATATTATTTTAGTAGAGAGAGAGAGAGAGAGAGATAGAGTGAACAGTAAGAGGTTTCCACTACCACGCCAGATGGGTGCACTTAGTGGGCGACCTGGATTGTTGGAAAATGTTTTGACAGCGCTGCGGTCCTACAAAAATAAGTAAAGCCTTATCTCAAAACTCATCAAAATTGCACTTCTGTCTCGGAAAATTTTATGGGCTTTCATCATTTTGGTTAAAAAAAAAAATATAGGATTTCAAATTTTAAAACTAGCGTATATTATAACATATTATCTAGACCATCTATTTCACCCTAAAATTAAATATTTACGACGCTTCAAGTTTGAAAAATCGATTTTAGAACCATCATGGACAATTTGATACCCATAATCCTTTCTGGACAAGGATTTGAGGTGAGATTTTAGTTTGTTTTCATAAAACCTAGGCCTTGTAAAAATTGCATCCATGTTGAAAGACAATAAATGTATATAAGGCAGGGAGATGTAAGTTGAACCTCAAAAATCCCCTCACCATTTTTATGTTGGAGAACCTCCAATCCATCGTTTCAATCTTGAGATGATGTATATATATATGGGAAATGATCTAATTATATTGACCGTCTATTTTGAAGATTATAAATCTTAAAAAAAAAAAAGGATTACAAGTTTTAAAAATAGTGCATTTTATAACAAATTATATAAATCGTCTATTTTTAAGTGTTTATAGATTTACTCGATTTGTACGATTTTAAAAAATTTAAATTTCATAATTTGAGAGAGAAATACGTTTTCAAGTAAGTTATCAACCAAAACTTCATTTGTAGACAAAATTTAAAAGTATACCTTACTTCTAGGGTATAGATTCCATATTATATAAATCTATTGTCCATATTATATAAATCTATTGTCCAGGAAAATGTTTATATATCACCTCATGGTTGTGATGAAGTTGTATGGGAAAGTGAGAATGATGGACTTTTTAAGTTAAGTCAACCTATAAGTTGCTCTTTTTTAATCGTATCAGATGGACTAATGAATATCTGCATGCTGTCAGGAAATGGCCTATTCCCCTTAAAGTGCAAGTTTTCCTTTGGGTTGCTCTTCAAGATAAATACCTCACTGTTGATGACACCTTCGCAAGCAGTAGGATAAAGAAACAAGTAGGCACTTATTTTTGCATTGCTCTTTTGCCACACAACTTTGGGCTTGGGCAATTTGGTTGCTAGATTTTTCTCTTATGCTACTAGAGGGTTTCGCCAATATTGTCAATCATTTGCATCTTAATGGGCTTCCATCCAAAGGGGTTCTCTTGTGGAAGATCTTTAGAGGATAAATTTCTTCAAACTCTGTGGGATTGGTACTTGGTTACTAAAGAGGGTACTTAAAAAACCTATGCTATATGGCTTTTTAAAACCCAACTTTGATGGAAGTTCTTTCGGGAACTCAAGGAGAAGTGGTATAGGGAGATTCTCGAGAATCATGAAGGACATATTGTATGCTCATATTTTGATCTTTGTGGGCCTATTCTAGAACTGCAAATTTTCTTATGAGGCCTGGAAATCATTCGGAGTAAAGGTGTAATGGGGGCTATTTTGGTAAAAGGAGATTCCCTCAATGTCATTAAGTGTTGTAAAAATGAACAAAGGATCCCTTAGTCTCTTCCTTCTATTTAGTTGAAAATCTTGGACATCTCTTCGACTGTTGGCCTTCACCTTTCATTTGATCATGACCTAGCAGCCCAACTTACTAAACTTAGGTGTTCTTTGACGACTTTGTATGTCTCCGATGATTTAATTTCTTCCGTGTAACTCTATGTTGTTACAACTCCTATAAATAAAAGTTATTTGACCTTGTAAATAAATATGAAAAAAAACAAAAAAAAAACACCCAAAGGCAAGGAAGAGTCACGGAGGCCCATTTCATACTCCCGTTGAGATGCTAGGTCCCTTACCCACATTCAAGGTGGGGTTTAGTCAGGCAAGCGTCTCCACTTTAGAAACATCAAATTTTCTTAAAAGTTTTAAGTTAAAAGTTAAAAGGAAATGACGGTCTCCACTTTATTAAACATCAATTTTTCTTAAAGTTTTAAGTTAGAAGTCAAACGGTAAATGATCCAAGATATAGCGTTGGTGTAAAAAATAGTCCATATTTTTTGACATTTTTTTATGGTGCGATTCAAAAAAATTTAGGTTGTTTTTTTTTTTTTACAAGTATGAAAATGCTTAAACATAAATATGAGAATGCCCATACATAAATACCACTAAATCCACACTCTCTTCTTCAACGTGGGACTAAAACCCACTTCTTTATCTCAACATTATTTAAAACTTAAAAAAATCACACAAAATATTATGTTAGTTTGAAATACACCAAAGTATTTTTCAAAACAAAAAAATACCAATAGAGTGCACCTGTACCCTACCCTCAAAATATTTGAAAACGGAGTGTGGTTTGTATACAGCTTAAGCTCTAAACAATCAAATTAGAGCCTACCTTCAAATAGTGTCGAGAAAAGTGATTTCAATGCTATAACTCTTTATGATAGCCTTTAAATATATTTTTATCTTTATTTATAAAGTTTAATGTTTCAAAAATAGTGTAGATCGACATATCTATGAAAACTTGAAAATCTTGAATATTGACAGTCCAAAAATGCATTACAAAATACACTATTTCCAAAACTTGAAATCCATTTTTTTCTTATGTCCATGCATCTTGATGTTGAGATGATCAATTTGAGGCTATTTGGGTAACGAAACAACTTTTTCTACTGAAATTTTTGAGATAGGTTTAAATTTGATTGTTTAGAGCGTAAGCTCTATATATAAACTTTTTCCTTTGAAAAATATATTGTTGAATAAATTATTGGAAATTTTTTAGCACACAAACCTCACATGTTAATAGTTACTCATGTGGTAAAAAAAGCAAGCCCCTAGGGGTGGTACTTGGGTCTAGGTCAAGGTTGACGGCAACCAGAACCCGGCAGGATTAGGTCCAAGTCCAATGACCAATACCTGAATTGAGTCTGGGTCGGTTTGAGTCTAGTTGGAACCCCTTGGGCTTGGGTCCTGGTCAGGTTTGAACTGGAACTGAGTAGCAGCTGGTGTTAGTAGTGGCTGGTGTTCTCCTATAAGCCATATCCTCTTCAAATATTTCGCTCTATAATGTGGGTAAGTAGTAGCTGGTGTTCGTGTAGCTCGTTGTTACCTCTTGCCTACAATCGCCTCAAGAAGGGGTCTATGCTTTTCCAATGAAAAAGAAAAAGCAGTTACCAGGCTTTGACCCACGGGCAAGCTTTCTATGATTCCCCTACAGCATAAAATTTATATATTTCCCCTTATTCAACCTTCCATTTTGAACGGAGGGCTAAGATGGCCCCAATCACAATGTCACGTCTCTACACTATTTTATTTTTAATTTTTTTTTCTATAAACTATTTTGACACCAAATTTTGGATGTCCAATCCTCTACTAAACTTGCACTAGCGAAAAATATATATATATAATATTTTAAATAAAATAAAATGACCAAAATACCCCTAAAAATTTCAAGGGGTATTTTGGTCATTATATTTTATCAAAAAATTATTTTTAATATTTTTTATAGGTGCACTCCAATGAGAAGATGGCACGTACCAAATTTTATATTTCTTTAATTTGTATAAAAAAATAAAAATAAAATACTTTGAGACGTTGGATCTAAGATCAAGCTAGATGGTAGAGGAAGCATAGATCTTCTATGCTGTAGGGGAAGTATCCAAACATTTTCCTTGATTGGTTGGATGGGCTCGTGAGTTGTAAAATTGGGAGCCGTTTGTTGGTTCAAGGAGTTTGTCAAATAGGGCTTCAATGGGAAGGGCGAACTTTTTTTTCGTGTTTTTTCTTTTATTTTTCTTCACTTATTTTTGGCCCAACCCTAGCCTTATAGAATCGGGCCTAGTCTGAGTTGGCCCTATGGGAACAATAGTCAGCCCAGACCCAGGCCCAAGCCCAACTTGCTACCACCCTTAACTACAAAGATGCCAGTGAGTCCCCCTCTCTCTTTCAAAACACGGTTTTGCACATGCACATGCACATGCACATCTATTGGTGCGTATGCAATTAATGATAGTATTTAAAAACGGGATTTTATACTATGAGATCATTTACCTTTGTTATAATTATTTCTAGTTATTAGATGTCAAATTGGATTATTTAGGGTGTGTCACGAAGTTTGAGATCTTTTTTTTTTTAACTTTGAGTCCAATCAATGACACCCTTGTGACCACCCAGTTTGAAATATGATGCCCGAGTATTTATAACCTTTTTATACTAAAAGTAAATGCTTTTTTTGTAGACCTTTTCTTAAAAATTTGGTGAGTTGACTACAAAACCACCTAGTGCATAGGACCAATGGGGCGCACGAGTCTAAAGACCTTTTGACATGCTCTCATACTTCGTTTTCTTTCTTTTCTTTGGTGGGTGGGCCATTCATATCGATGATAGATAATTTAGTATATAATGAAATGGTCCCTTGTATCGCTGCCTGAAGTCATCCAAATGGCAAAATTTGACCCTTGCAACAAAAAATAAATATGAAGGATATCTATTTATGCAAGGTCCCCCATACCTCTTTAGTCACCGTCACTGCCGAAAATGATTCTAAACAGAGCCAAACAATCGATTTAGATATCAAGAAAACAGATACTATTAGGACCGGCAATGAGCCGATCAGCTCACTCTAGGCTCTTATTCTTCTGTTCGTTCTCTTAATTTTGATTGAGCTCGGCCCTGCCTGAACCAAGCCCAAGCCCAAAGCCAGGCCGGCTGTGCCTGCCTTGGCCCCACTAGGCCTGCCAGCCCTAGATATTTGTTAGGGATCTCTAATAGATAGATAGAGGAGATAGAGGTAGGAGGAATTGAAGTTTGAGGAAATATCCCCGCACCTCTTTTCTTCTTTTTTTTCATATCTCAATAGACTTAATGATTCAAAATATAGTTCCTAACCCTTTTACTAACTTTATTTATTTTTAATTATTTTTTTAGTATTAATAAATATAAAAAATACATGCTCGTTTTAAACCCTTCCTCTCTTAACGTGATACATTCCCCTCAAATTTCTC